CAATTTTCCCTACTGCTATAGTGTTCTATGGCGGATTTCTCGTCTCTCTTTTGCCAAAAGGAGAAAAAGATCCATTATTTATAGTAGTATCCTAGGGTTTCGGCGCATGAGCACCGCATGGGCGTGCCACTGCCCGTGCGGGTACACCGACATTTCACGGGTACTAAGTGCCGATGTGGAAGACAAGGCACGTTCTCGTGTTATGCATGGGTGGCCCATACAACGTCGTTCCTAACTCCGATCATTTGCGCGTCTCTCCTCTGATTTTACTTCTATGCTCATTTTTAATGTATTTTTACTCAAAATGATCCACTTTTGCTTCCTTTTTCATTTTCCTTTCTCCAAAGTGTATTTGGGTCATTCTGAACACAAAACACTCTTTTTAGTCTGAAATCCTAATAAACACTTCAAAATAAGTGCAAAAGGGAATAAGAATGGGGTGAAAATATGTTACAAAATAATAGTCACACATGTCTGGGTAGTACGTTTGTGCAACCCAGTGTTATGAGCTGTGCATCGTAGGCTGGTAAGATGTGCATTAGTGCACTAAGTGCGATGCATTGTAGGACATTGGGATGTCTACTGTAGGATTTTTTGGCGATGTTTGAATGCCGACATTCGGTATAGGAATGCACGACATTTTTGTATAAGAATGCACGACATTTTTGTATAAAAATGCACGACATTTTTGTATAAGAATGCACGACATTTTTGTATAAGAATGCACAACTTCTAATAAAACTGATTTACCCCTAATCGTATATTTTTTTCTAATATTTTAAAGGCATTTTTTCGTTAGTCCGTGTGATTTGTTCCTTTCAATCTCAGTCGTGCATTATTTAGATTTAATGGTCTAGATCAATCCTTATGTTCTCTCACATTAATGGTGGTTCTCATGGGCAGGGTCGCGCTCAGGTGATAACGAATTGAATGTCCAGGAGTGGAATGAGAACCAATCGTAGCTGTCCTTCTGTCTAGAGCTAACGAATCAGATGTAACTTTAAAAAAATATGATATTATATTTGTAAATAACTCGAACTTTAGTGCAAATAACATGTGTTAAAGTGCAAGTAACTAGTGCAAGTAAAATCACTTAAAAGTGCAACCATTTTCACTTAATAGTGCAAGTAGTTACCTTTTCAAATTGGTGCACCTAATGATAATGTAATGTGCGCTTAATATTGTTGTTCGGTGTATATTATATTGTTGCACTTCAAATACATTTTATTTACACCTTTGATACATTTTACTTGCACTTAGGTGCACTCTATTAAACTGTTATTTATACTTTCGACACAATTTACTTGTACTTTAAATTTCTATCTATTTACAAAAACACCACCGCGTTTAAAAAAAAAAGTGTTTATGATCCGTTAGATTTGGACAGATGGATGACTGTGATGGGTTCTCATTTCTCCCCTAGGCATGTGGTTCTCACCTAATCTGTCTCATATATATATATATATATATATATATATATATATATATATATATATATATATGCAAGTGTATCCAATGACCCAGAGCAGTCTGAATGTTCGCACCTGAATGTAGTGCATGCCTTGGTATTGATAGAATATGTTCAGAATACACGGAGTGTATAGAACGGGAGGGAATTAACTTACCCCCCGAATGGAGCATGCCTGAGTTTGTTCGGACAGTGATTAGGGACGAGGCAATTAACATCCCAGGCTTTCTCAGGACCAACACTCCAAGCTCAGATCAAAGGCATACAATGCACTACACTTGGACCAACACAAAGTGCACAACATACAACCTCTTAGTGCACCATAAACCAACCATTAAGTGCACCACAAACCAATCCTTAGTGCACTTCCCAACAGGAGTGTCAAACCCGTTAGTCATGGAGCATATCAACGGCTTCAATAAACTTGTCAACAAATCTAATTGACTCGTTAAACAACATCGTTAGTCCAATGGTACTACCCAAGAATTTTATTGAACCCATCACATTTTTCCCCTTTTTTCAGCCACATGGTGGTCCACCACAAATCATGACTTAGTACATGATAAATCAACACTTAATGCATCACAGACCAATTAGTGCATCACAAAAAATATACATAGTGCACAAAATTATAAAAATGCAACCACATTTTTTACTTTTAATTAATTTTCAGCCACTTGGTACATCATAGACAATGCTTAGTGCATGCAGCACAGATTAACACTTTGTGTACCGAAGAAACACATGTAGTATATATGTATGTATTCGTAGTGTGACGCCTATTATTGTCTCAATCAAGAAGTAATCAATATAATGTAATCAGCCAGGCCACCTTGTGAATTGTGATGCATTACCGATTTGCCGACCCAATTACTGCCCCGTTCTAATGTCGTCTATCAGTCATTGCTGCCACAACTGTTCATACCAGTCCTTATAGCACACTTGGAACTTACACAGAATTAGAGAAAACTTATATGCTACAATTAAAAATAATTATATATTATTCAAAATTTTGTGTATCAAGGACAGTAGCACAGCAACCTCGATCACAAATAATGATATATATTTACATAATAATCGAATAATTTTTTATATTTATTATTAGTGGCTCATGAATTAGCCAACTCATCAGGAGTTAAAAGAATTTAAATAATTATAAAACAAAAATAAAGTCATCCAAGGTAGTCGTATCATATGTAAATATTGAAAAGTAGATTTAAGATCAGTGGCAACCCATATTCTTTTGAACTTCTGTAAAAATTGCATTTGATTAGACATAATTTTCAATACAATTCTTTAATATATATTGTAGGCAAATTATTACATAGACCGTGGTCCACACAGATATGTGGATTACAGTTCAAAACGACGTTGTTTTGACGTTTAAAAAAAATTCGTTAGCCAGTAACGGTGTAATATGCTTAGTTATTTATGTGTTAGAATAATAACTTTTTTGGGTACGATAATGCATTTTATGAGTTAAAATAATGTGCTTTATGCTTTAGAATAATTTACTTTATGTGTTAGAATAACAAACCTTTTGGAGTGAGATAATGTATTTTATGAGTTTGAATAATGTACTTTGTGTTAAAATAATATATTTTATGAGTTAAAATATGTACTTTTTGTGTTAGAATAAATAACCTTCTGTTGTAAAATAATTTATTTTATAAGTTAAAATAATGTACTTTATGAGCTATAAAAATATATATCGCATCAATGGAGAGAAAAATGCAAGTCGCGTGAGAAAAAAAACTTGCACAACCTAACGAGGAGACGCCATCGTTTTTGAACCATGCTCTACACATCTGTGCGTATGATTTATATATTGTATTGATAGTCTGATACTCACATTTTAAAAGTGAGATTGATTAGCTGTGGTTAAAAATAGAAATAAAGTAAAAGAAATGGGAATACAATAAACACGAAATAAATGTGGACCAACTTGCATGGACCATAACAAAAGGTACATTTGTAATATACTAAATGTATATTATTTTTGTACTGAATGTACATTATACCATGGACCTGGGTTCATATTGTATTCTGAACCTTGATACCAAAATTCTATACCTTCAGTTAACACATTTTGTACTTACAGTTAACAGTTTCTGTACATGTAAACAAATAACTTGATAATTACTGACACATAATATGATAGGCCACAGGTACAAAAATTATCAACTGCATGTACAGAATGTGTCACCTATAGATACAAAATCTAAAGATTACATAATATAATAGCTACAAATACAAAAACTATTAAGTGCAGATATAGAATACACCAACTATAAATACAAAATTTAACAATTATTTTTGAACTAGAATTTATAATGCAAGGTAGACTATGATCCATGTCACAATCCAATCAAATCTAAGTAATAAAAATTAAAAGTTGTAAGGCTAAATGTGATATAGGAATGAGAATGAACATGGGTCTTTTGATAAGGCCACGTCGTCAATTCGCCCATAAGTGGAACTATAAATTGGAAATTTGAAAGGGATGGAACGCAAGTCTCGCTATTAATTGGTGGGCAGGGCCCTTGGGGCTTGGGCTACGTGTCACGCTAAAATGCTAAATAAAATTTGTGGAAATCTCAGCAAAAATTATACGTGTGACAAAACAATTGTGCCTCACGTTATTTATTATTCACGTCTAGTTATAGCAAGAATATACGATAAATGAAGACACCAAAAACATTAAAATATATGACACGAATTGCGAGGAAAATATTCGAATATTAAAGATATAAGATATATTTTCATATATTTTTGGAATGGCATCAAGTATGTATGCATGTGTGTGTATATACACACACACTAGTATTTTATATACCTATTGCATAAAAATATATGCCCAACATATATTAATACTCAATATTAAAATTTAGTTATATTAAAATATTTTTTGATTAGTAGTATATAATTTTTTTTAATTCATAGTTAGAATTAATATTGAGTTAATACCTAAAATCGTCCTCGACTATAGTGGTTTTTCTTAATTTCGTCATAAACGACTTTGGTGACCTAATATCGTCCCAGACTTCTGTGTTTTGCTCAATTTAGTCCTCCATTTGTTATTCCGTCAAATTGGTGTTAAATAAAGGGACAATTCAGTAATGTCAATATTTATCTTTCTTTACTTTCAACTTGTGAAGTGCGAAATTCCTCTTTCTTGTACGAATTACACCCAGAATTACTCTCGGACCTGCAAATCAAATTTTATATTCGCAGTTTTAGGAGTAATTCTGGGAGTAATTCGTAAAAAAAAAAAAAGGATTTCGCAGTTCACATGTCTATGAGTAAAGAGATGCCAATATTAAAATTACTGAATTGTCTATTTATTTAACACCAAATTGACAGAATAACAAATGAGGGACTAAATTGAGAAAAAATACAAAAGTCTGGGACTAAATTGAGCGAAACACAAAAGTCGGGGACGATATTAGGTCACCAAAGTCGTTTAGGACGAAATTGAGAAAAACCACTATAGTCGAGGACGATTTTGGGTATTAACTCAATTAATATTATATTAATCTGTGTCATGCTTTCTTATGGAATGACAATAGTAGTCATGCAATCTACTGGGTAAGTTCCTTACCCTTTCAGACCTTCTTGGGTGCTTGTGGTTAGGAAGTTGCCTTTGGGAAATCATTTCTGTATTTGCCTCATCATCCACCTCATTAACATCAGAGGCAGATGGTTCATTCCCTTCAGCTTGTGTTGATGAAACAGTAGGACTATGACCAGCTGTAGAATTCTCTGTGACTGTCATTCCATTTTCTTCACTACTGTAATGAAAATTAACTTCATTCCCATGGTTTACATCATGTTGTTCAGGCACCATAGGGATGTGACCTGTTGTATAAGAGAATGGCATAACATCTGCATCAACAGAAACTAAAGGTAAGACAGGATCTCCAACTGAAGTCTTTGTTCTAGTTCCAGTATCCTTTTCCTTAAAGGGATAATCTAAAAACATAATAAGTGTGAATAAAAGTTATATATACCCCTGATTTATGTCCGTTTTTTCCGTTAAGTTTTTTTTTTTTTGTACATTATGCTATAAAGGTTGTACATTAAAATATTTTGGACAAACATACCCCTACCGTTATAACTTCCGTTATCTTTTCTACTATTGTTACCATGCACATGCATCCACCATATATTTTCTTATCTTCTTCATTAATAATAATATATAAACATTATATATTTGAGTTATATGTTAATTATTACATAAAATATAAATATCAAATTTATAAAAATGATTTACATTATTATTATTATTATTATTATTATTATTATTTAAATATCTAAAATTAAAATAAATTTAAAATTTTAATATAATGTATTAATATTGGGCACCTATTTTTTTGCGCATCGCGCATAAAAAAATACTAGTTATATTCATAAAGACAAAGCATTACATTGTTTTCCACTATCTCTTTTCTTGGCAGGTGGATGTTCAAGCAAATATAGGCCATCCTTTTCCTTAGCAAAACCAGCCATTATCCCATGGGGTCCCTGAATGTTACACACATCAGCATTCAAAATAATGCAACCAGCTTGACTTATCAGTTTACTAGCAGATATTATGTTGAAAGTAAAGGTTGGTATGTATAAGACATTCTTCAACAGCAGATTGGGAAAGAGCCTCACTTCCCCTATGTAAGCAACTTGTATACTTTGTCCATTTGGCAACTTGACAGATATGTCATTAAGCTTTTGATAATTGTCAAGATAATCTAATGAGCATGTGATGTGATTAGTTGCTCCAGAATCCAAAATCCAAACTTTAGGACAATTTAAGATAGCATTAATGTGAGATTCAGAGATAAACCTGCCTTCTTTTGATTCATCACTCAGGTTGGAGAAGTCTGGTCTCATTCCAGTCTTGTTCACTGTGACAGCAGCACTAGCAGAAGCTTGTGCTCCTTGATTTTGTCCCTGTAACAAGGACAGAAGCATCTAAAACTAATCAGGTGACATTCCTATGTCACCAACTTGGTTGACAAAGGATGGTGAGGGTTGCTGATTCTGCTGAGCATTTTTATTTGCCTTGTTCTTGGACTTGTATCCAGGTATCCATCCAGGGGGGTACCCATGCTTTTTGAAGCATTTTTCAACAGTGTGACCACTCATTCCACAAAATGTGCATTTTGGCACATTTTTCCCTCCATAGTTGTTAAACTTCTTCTTATTAAAAGAAGTTGCCACGGCTACAATGTTATGCTCATTTGAGGTTACATTCTGAACAACATTGGCCTGTGTTATCTCTTTGTTCTTGTGGTGAGTGGAACAATTGAGCTTTCTTTCCAGCTTTAGAGCCATATTCAGCACCTTTTCCATGTTAGGAACTGGATCCATAACCAGGACACCAGACTTTATAGTCTCAAATTCATCATTCAAGCCCTTTAGAAACCTAATAACCTGATCATCCTCCCTTTCCTTTCTTATTTTGCTCATCAACTTGCAAGCACATCTAGGAACACACTCACAAACAAGTAGAGGCCTCACAGCATTCAATTGTTCCCAAAGAGCATTACATCTAGTGAAATACTCATTAATAGACTTGTTACCTTGCGTATTCCTGTATATCTCATTCTGAATCTCTGCTATCTTGTGAAGATCTGCCTGGGAGTACCTCTTCTTCAATGCATTCCAGATATCTTCTGCAATCTCAAAGTATAGGACACTTTCTGCTATAGTGGAATTGAGAGACTTAAGTATCCAGGCACAAACGATGTCATTGCATCTCTTCCAGGCAGGATATTTGGAATCGGATCGCTCTGGAGTTGGAACTGCACCACTCACAAAGCCAAACTTGTTCTTCACTCCTAGTGCAATCTTTATAGATCTGCTCAAGGTAGCGTAATTGTGCTCAGAAAGAGGAGGTGAGACAAGGATCATGTTCGGATTTTCAGTGATGTGAAGATACATTGGATCATCAAACTCGTCTATTCGATGCACTGGAGTTTGATTCGCATGGACTTGACTTGCCGTGGTTGAGGCTTCTCCTCCATTTCCAGTAGGGTTTCCTCCTGCGGCTTCTCGATCCATGCCTACAACAGCAGCGTAACTGAAACGAAGCTCTGATACCATGAAGGAATCAGTAGCTTAGAACATCATCAATGGAAGTAGCATAGTCAGGGACTTGGGAGTTTTGAGTGAAAGAAGGGAAAGCAGTAGTGTTCTCATTATTCATCATCAACCAGAGAATACAAAAGAGGCAAATATAAAGGAAAGCTAAGGAGGGAAAGCTGCAATGAAAACAGTAGATGGAAGCAGTTATAACAGAAATAACATAAAAGGGTTAAGTTATAGAAATGCCCTTGTGGTCTTGTGTCACATTCTTCATCAGTATAGTTAATAATTTGAGTAATAATTATGATATAATTAATATTATAAAAGTAAGAATTTTAAATATGATATATTATTAAATATAATTATGATAATATTTAATTAAAATCTAAATGAAATTAAACTTATTTCTTATATTACTCCAATATATAACGTTTACCTACATTATTATCATTGAGGAATATAAGAAAAGATGCATGTGAATGATAATAATTATGGGAAGAGATATAAGAAGTTATAATGATAGGGATATTTTTATCTAAGAAAATTATATAGGGAAATTCTTATAGCAAAAAAGAAAGTAAAAGAAAAAATGAACATAAAGTAGAAATATAACTTTGATTTAGACTTGTTATCGATATTAAGTGTGACAACAGAGATCGCATTATAAGATTGTTTCTCATAAGGGCCGGGTCTCACGTGCGTGACGGCTCTCATGACAACCTCATCCGGTTTCTAGCCTATTTTTTCCATTTTAAGTCCAAATTGACCTTGATTTGGTCTGTTTTGCCTTTAAGCTTTGATATATATATTTTTTCCTACATAATAAATCACATAATTGGTCCATTCATGCACTATTGAAGCAATTCATACCCGAGTTTGACCAAAATATGCATCCAAAAGTAACACAAATAAAGACTCATCAATATTCATGTGATTATTGTTGCACATTTTGGGTATCCAGAATGTATGAGGTTGAGTCCCTTGAAGTTGTGCAATGGTGTATTCAGCAGTGTGCATTTTACGTTGGTGTTGTGCAATATAGTTTAATTGTTTGAGGTGTGCGTTTGTGTTTATTTTATTAGGAGTAAATTCCTAGTTTGGCAGTGTATACGTTTTTTGATGTACTAATTTACACTCTTGGCTTATTATGGAGATATTATGGCTCTAAACTCTAGGATATTTTTTGAAAAATTGGAAGATAATCTGAGCAAACCAAGCCATATATAGATTCAGAAATATAAGTAGGGTTGTTAAAGCGGGCCGGCACTTTACACCGATGGCGAAATGTTTCGCTGGCTTTTGCAGGCCAGCCCGCTAAGCCTGCAGGCTAAGAATCGTGTGATCCTAACTCGCCCCACGCGGGTTGGCAGACCCCGCAGGCTAACACAATTTTCTTTTTATTTTATTTTTTTTGCTGAAAAAGTTTAAAAATTTTGTCCAAGAAATCAACTTCATCAAAGGCATGGGAGACAAATTTAATTTTCCTTTTTCAAAATATGTGTTGCACTTGACTTTTTCTTCACTAAATATTCTTCACTTTGGGTTAACTGGTTAAGGACTATTTACTAAGGTTTAGCAAATGTGGGCAACTAGGTGTGAACTTAGGGTTATATATATATAATTTTTTTTTTTTTTAAATAGGGCATGGCTCGCGGCTCTTAGCAGGCTAGGCCCGTTAGTCCCGCTCTTTCGCAGGTCATTTTTTTGTGGCCTTAGCCAGCCCCACCTCGGGACGAGTGCAGGCCAGCCCATAGGCTTCGGCCTATTTTGACAACCCTAAATATAAGCAACTCAGATTTATCTACAGTTCGGGACTGATTCTCATGTGAGAATGACTATATATATGTATATAATAGGTGGATCATCGTTAACTTCATATGTTAAGGACTTCTTATTTTTATTTTGACTTATGCCTATAAAATGATAGGATCGCCCATAGGAATAGAATTAGTTTCGGTGTGTAGGTTCTTGGTGTATCCTGACTGAAAAAACTTGTTCTCTGACCAAAATTATTATCTTAAATATTTTGTATCTATTTACAGGTTTATAAATTTATTCATCCTCATTTTATAAAATTAAGAAATGCTATATTTATTTATTAAAGGAATAAGGTTCAAATTAGCCACTGAATGTAACCTGAAAATGCAATTAGGCCACTAAAAAAAAAAAAAAAAGTGCAATTAGGCCACTGAACACTCCAAAAACATACAATTAGACCACTGAACACTCCAAATGTATGCAATTTCACCGGATAGCAGATTACCATCAATTTTAGCAAGTTACCTGCTTATGTGGCACCTGACTTGGCATTTTTAATAATTTTTAAATAATTTTAATAATAAATTAAAAAATTGAAAAAAAAATTAAATAAAAGAATAAAAATAAAATAAAACGACGGGGTGGCCATTGGCCACCCCTTCCCTTGGTCCTCCTTCGTCTCCGGCAGAGACGAAGGAAGAGGGGTGGCCGGCAGCCACCTAGGGCTGTTAACGAACCGAACATAAACGAATGAAGGCTGTTCGTGTTCGTTTGTTAAGAATTTTGGGGTGTTCGTGTTCGTGTTCGTTTGTTAAGCGTTCATTAGTGTTTGTTAACGTTCGCGAACACGTTAACGAACACGAACGTGTTTGTCAACATTCGCGAACATGTTCACGAACGTGTTCGTTAACGTTAACAAACATGTTCACAAACACGTTCGCGAACATGTTAGTTTACGTTCATGAACACGTTCGTAAACCTTTAATAACCAAACACATACACATGTTCATGATCACAATTCGTTCGTGAACAAGAAATAATCTACGTTCATGTTCACGAACATTATTAAATGAACACTAAACGAGCTTGTTCACGAACATTATTAAACGAACACAAACGAGCTTGTTCACGATCTCTTAGTAAACGAGCATACAACTGTTCAAGCTTTGTTTGTTTATTAACCGAGCTCTAATTTTTGTTTGTTAATGGTTCGTTTACCTTAACAAACGAACATAAACGCTTACCAAACACGAACACGAGTAGTTTGCCGAAAGCTCTGTTCGCTAACACCCCTACAGCCACCCAGTCGTTTTGTATTTTTTATTTTTTATTAATTTATTATTATTAAAATTTATTTTAAATTATTTAAAAATTATTAAAAATACCAACTCAGCTGCCACGTAACTAAAATTGATGATAACCTGCTATCAGGTGAAATTGCATACATTTGAAGTGTTCAGTGACCTAATTGTATTTTGTTTTTTTCGTTCAGTGGCCTAATTACATTTTCAAGTTACGTGGCCAATTTAAACCTTATTCCTTTATTAAACTATTTATGCATTTGAAGAATTCTCGTTCGGTCATCAGTTCAACGACCCCTTCAATTCTACTTCTTCACCGCTAGCTTGACTTTCTCTCCTTGATAGAGTCACCCATTCATCATAACATGACAAGAACTTCACGGAAATGCCGTAAACTTTATATGAAAGAAAACAAAATCGGTGGGCTTAGCTAGATCACTTGTTCGCACAGGCTTAACTCAATGGTTCAGTAGGCAGTATTTGAGAGAAGAGATCAATGTTCTCGACGGCAGTGTAGGGATGATGTCCAAACTGAACAGATCCCCTATGGGCACCAACCTTTAATTTGGTCTGGTCATGTCTGCTGAATCATTGAGTCGTCATAATTTACATCCCACCAAATGCTTTGTCGGGTCGGGGTGGGGTCCTTTAAGGTTAAAGATTCATTGGAAGAAGAAGAAGAAAAAAACAAAACTCATAATAATTAATGCTTATTTAATATTTCCCAATTTAATTTTCACTGACGTAATTGCTTTGAAAAAAAAGAATACATAAATACATAATATAATAAAATGAAAATGCAATAAATATTGTTGAAACGGATAACCAGCTGGAAAATATTTTTTGAGAAAGAAGTACTATATGCATGCACCGGTATATATGGCTTTAAAAGCCTCGACATCAGCTAATATTGAGTCCATTGTTTTCGCTTAGTTTTGCGGTCCTTGGGTTCAAAGCACTCACTATCAGAAATGACAAAATTGTTTTATCCGAAGAAAACAAAGTCAAATCTTGTATTTATATATGTTCACACGATCGTATAACTTAACACTTAGCAGCCATGTAATAATCAGGTCATGCTTCATTAAAAGAAAGCATAAATACTTTAGGAAATTAAAATGTGATATCAATCGATTATTTGCAATAATTTTTTTTTTTTGATCTTTCATTGTAAATAAAAATGAAAAGACAAATGTTTTTTTTTCCCTCCTAAGTTTCCCTAATATTTTCTCACATGATGTGGTTTATTCATTGGTCATCATAAAATGGATAACTCACCACACTTTTAATTAAATATTAAATAATCCAATATAATGGTACCACATCAGGAGCGAAAATTGGGAGGAAAATTTTAAAAGGGGTGTTTAGCATTACTTTAAAAAAAATTATAAAATATATCCTCAACTTTGAAAGATTGTAACAATTTTGGTAATCTAACAAACAAAAACATAAAGTTCATTTCCGTTCAAACTTAGTCGATCATTTTACCCAATATAATATCGAAAAAAAAGGTAAAAATTATTTCCTTCAAAAACGAAACTCGTTTGGTTCGCTGGAAAATATTTGAAGAGAAATGGAATTGAAATTCCATGAAAAATAAAATTCAAGAAAATAGATTTCATTGTTTGGTTGGTGGAAAATAAATTACTGGGAATATGAATTCCATTGTTTGGTTGAGTTTGGAATTGTAAGGAATAATGTGTATAATGACAAATATAATCCTACACAACAATAATACTAAGAGTAATTAATAAAGAATGGTGAGGGTAAAATTGTCATATTAGTTTTCCATGGAAAACCTTTTCCATGGAAAACAAAATACCTAGGATGAGCTAGGGATTTGTTTTCTTCATTCTCAAGGAAAACTTTTTCCAATGGACAATGTTTTCCATCCAACCAAACAACATAAAACATCATTTTTCTTCACTTTTAGGAAAATATTTTACATGGAAAATGTTT